AGGGCATGTTGGTACGTGACATAGCAAACACCTTCTTCTCCCTGTCTCTACATTTGACGTCAACGAATAAGAAACTGGTCCATTATGGGCATATCTCATGAGAAAACATTTCGTTAACTCTCACTATACCCTAGATGCCCGCTTCGTAACTTCTGTTTTCCTTTCCGCGAGATGTTTAGCTTTAGAGTCAACAGTTTTTTTTTTGTCCAGTCATCTTCGTCAAAAAAAAAAAAAAAAATATAAATAAATAAAAATAATAATTCTTCCGTCCCTTTCTCTCGGTCTTGCTTTTGTACTTTGAAGTTGACTCCAGTTACTGATAGCCATCATCCGAAAGTAAACGTTCTGTATCAAATTGTCTTAAATTTAACTCATATTCCTACAGATATAAGCATAGCTTCGTTTGGTCTATTACTTCTTCTACATGCCTTGAAATTTCAAGACTGAGGCGGTCGTGGCTCGCCATAATTTCCTGTCTTTTTTCTGCAGTTACTAATAATTTCTAATTTACTACCCGCTTTCTCCTTGTTCTGCCATTCACTCAAACTGGTCAGCTACGTTCCACATTGGCCTTACAATTTTTGGCCTTCATTACGGTGGAGTAGTGGATAGCGGCTCGGATTGAGAAATCCAGTCAAATCCATTATATTCACTTACGTGCTAAAAACCTTGGGAAAAGTATGAATGCTCTTCTCTCCCCAGCTATAGGTACATAGCAGGACAGACCAGGTTCTATAGCCTTGGATGGCAACTGCAAAAAGAAATGGCAACCTACTGTGGGAAAAAATCTGCATCGTCAATCATGTATCGAAAGATACATGATCGCCTAAGCGTGTATCACGCATGGCACATAACTGACTGACGGGAGGTCCCGTAATTGTTAAATTCTCGAAGTTCCATTTTCTCATTATGTGTCGCAATAATTTCGAATATCTCTTTCCGTTTATTGGCATCAGTTTTGTTGTAGTTTCTATTCTGCTTAAAATCTCGTTCGGGTTGTGATTTGTATTTTTAGCATTCGTCGGTAGAACCACATTTCCGTTGCTTTAAGTCTCTTTTTCATTTATGAGAATATTATCCAGTATTTTCTGCCACAGTGGAGATTAAAATGTTACTTGATCTAAAGAATTTTCTCAGGGCGTGGAAACTTCCCAAGAGCAATATCTTTTATGATTCTTTTGTATATGGCTTACCTGGGATCTACTCAAGACTCTTTTAAAGCTTATGTTTGATAGCGTCGAGCGTTTTAAGGACATCTGCTACTATTTGGCCTCGTGTTTCATATAGCTAGGTCCCAGTATTTACATAGGAACACTATATATCCTAATATGTTACTGTGTCTCCGTTCTGGATAATGATTCGAGTAGTGATTTTCTCACCGGGTGCCCCATACAAAATAACCCAACAAAGGTAGGCATGTCTTCAAATCAATCAGCAAAATCAGAACAACGTATATTTGTATTTTAGCAGATTCTCATCTTTCTAAATTTGAAAACTTTTTAAAGAATTTTAAAATGATATAGACTCGTTATAAGAGCCACTAACCACTTGTCGTCTTTCATGCCAAATCTTTTCACTGCCATTCTACAAGACAAACAGATGAAGTGGTCGACAGTGAAAAAAGTGACCTGGAAGATCATTGACAGTCAGTCACACATTGTCATGTAACCGAGACATACGGAGGATGGGATTTTTGTTGTCTGGACTGACAACAGCAACAAAAGACATGTCTTATGACTTGTACTTTCACATGAATATTATCAGACAGAAAATTTTGGAGAATCACGTGGCACTAAGATTTATCGATGCACCCGAATTATCATCAGTATTTTTGCACATTTAATAATACTATCAGTTGAACGGTTTTATCCTTTCTCCGGATCTTTAGTTCGTCTTAATACTTTGCAAGACTTTGCAGACTGTTTTACTTATGCCAACAGCCGTCACTTTCTTATTTAACTATAATTACAAGGTCAGCTATTGTCGTTCCTTTTCATTTTATTATATTTGGAAGTTAAAACATTTTCGGCATTACTTAAATTGACTGGTACGTTCGGAAACAAATAGGGAAGAACAGCGGAGGATATTTTTGTAGATTAGAATTCATTAAACCTTCCTCAAGCTATAATATTTGTCGTAATCGAAAAATGTCTCTTTTTATCATTTTAGAAGTGGGGGTCCTGTTCATAATCTAAATACAGTATCAAATCGACCCCTGACTTCTTAAACAGTTTCGTTTTTATTTACAAATGTCAAGTTTGAATCTGTGCCTGATCGAAAAGTGCGTACAATTCATTCTGTTCTTTTTCTCAATTCGTAATAGGACACCGTTATCAATGATATTAGAACGTTTGAAAACGTGACATTTCTAAATGTTTGGTTTGGTTGTTTTTGTTTAGTAGCATATCAATACCTTTATTGGTTATTTAATACCGAAATTTGAACGCAATTTTATGCCTTCAACAACAGATATTTTGTTCATAATTTCATACTTTCATGGTAAACGTATACTTTTTAGATATATACTTTGTAAAAGATTAAAAACATTTTATAAAAAATATGATGTTAATTTAACAACAAAAATATATTGTTGGTAATTTTTTTTTATAAAAATATATTACTAGTATATTTATTATAAACCGTATTTTTATACTTTCCTGGTATTTTGATTTTAGTTTCATGGTTCACTACATGACAATAGCTGGGACCCTAACAGGTGCTACCACCCCAGATTAAGGTGGACCTGGGAACAAAAAAAATTAAGAGGTGTTTAAACACTCCTCAAAACACTCACTCTCCCAATCAGACGCCTTGCTGCCGGATGTAGTTTATCGTCATAGCCGAGACAAGGCATTTAGAAATAAAAAAACAAAGTACAGATAAATCTTCATGAAATCAAAGATCGATTTAACATTATACATATTTATATTGTGAACCAAAATCACATTTAAAATGATAAATTAATATTTGTTTTGATTCTGACAAATGCCGTGACTCAAGGAAGGTTTAATGAGACTTGATCTACAAAAATTGTGAGAAAGATTCTTTCCTATTTTTACGAGAAGACCAGTTAATTTAATTAGTCATCAGATGTTCTCATGCTAGCTCATGTATTTTTTTTTTACAGTAAGGTTGATTCTGTGGATGTTCCGGGAGCCACTCGAGATAGAGGTTTACTTTAAGTGGTATTTTATATGGATAGGAGTGGAAGATAACGGTTGACTCTAGACATGAACAGATTAAGATTGTAATAATCGGGGAAACATCCTCTTGGGAGTCTCTTCCATAGGGTACTGGTTCGCGGGAAGAAGCTGTTTGAATTAAACTTACTTCTCGACGATGGAATACGGGGGGAATATGGGTGGTTTGCTACTATTTAAGTGGCATGGTGGGTCCTATTTTTGAAGGTCAGACCTGCTGTGACCAAGGAATGCAGTTCGTCCAATCCCTTTCCATGGTAGTAGCGATAGAGCAGTGAGTGACTCACCACATTTCGCCTGGGTGAGAGAGGTTGGAGGGTGGAGAATAATTCTTCTCCAACAAAGACTCAGAGACACTTTTGAACTCTATCAAGACTGGAAAGTGAGGTCTGGGCAGCCCACGCTCAAATGTGACAACAGTACTCTATTTTCGACCTGATCTGGCTCTTATAAAGGTAGAGGATAGAATGAGAAGTCAGGTACTTACCGGAGCGGTACAGATCACAAACAAATCACAAGTTAATGCTGTACATTTTAGAATAATTTCTTCTGTGAAGGTAAGTTTCGACTTTACAATCGTATTATATTTCGCTTGTAGATATCTGCTTAACTTTATTACTAGCATATGAGTTTTATTCTGACAATAATGAAGCATATTAAAAAGCATTGCCTTGACTGATAGGAAAGAGAAAAGTTCTAAGTGAAGTGGGATTTGTTCACTTTATATTACATATTCCAAATTCTGTTTTTCGCCTCTGCTCGATCATCTAATATAAGTGCCTGAATGGAGCTAACAAAATGTACCATATTAGCCACTAATAGATTCGAACATTGAAATATAGGTTATCAAGCTGACATAACGAAAGAGGGATGAATAGACTAGCAAAGAATAAATATTTAGGTGATTGGAGTAATTTTAAATGTATAATGAACGTAGAACCGACAATAAAATAAAATAAAAAGCAAGATATTTTTGATGTATGAATATTCATCAAAATTCTTGTAGAAAACGACTGTCATATATTCACAATCAAATAATCAATCCATAGACAACGTTATCCGAAAGATGTTTTTAACCTTTTGCTATGAAAAAGCAAAACAAGGCGATAATAAATTGCAGTTAAATATCCCCAGTGATTAAGTTTCATATTCTCTTTGTATGTAAACATTTACCAGAATCATTTGATTTTAAATCGATCATTGAAATAACGGGATTATTCTTCTCGAAATACAATTCTGACTATACTCTCTTTTCCCACCTCGTATTTTATTATCACTCACTCAACCGATCCTCTCCCTCTCTATTCACTACTTGCCTTTAGGGTTTGATACACGCTAACTTGTTGATGTTCTTACTTGTTAAGTAATAGAAATACGCTGGGAAAACAAACAGTGGGTCATTTACTTTTAACACATAGACATAATAGCAATTGTCTGAAAAAAAAAAAACGAAGTTGACATGGGAGATTTCTCTTGATATTACCAACAAAAACTTAAATAAGCTTCATCAGAACATAAATTCTTCGTTTGTGTCCTTTGATAGTTTGTCGACTTTTCCAACACTTTGTATGATCACAGTGTCTGGTGATTATTCAATTGGCCATTTTCTATGGCCACTGGGGAAAGAGTGATAGCATTTAGATTTTTGACTTTAATAAAAACAGTAATTTTGTTTGCATTGATGTGAATTGTAAATCTTACCCGAGTGAAAATTTCGAATGAAGGCTTGACATAATGAGTGACATTTCATGTTGAGACGAACGAATTTGTTTATTCCATTAATTAGAATGTTCTAAGGGCTTACAACCACACCACGTTGAACCATCGGTTCCCGTACGATCACCGAAGTTAAGCAACGTCGAGCCTGGTCAGTACTTAGATGGGAATACGAGGTGCCGTAAGCTTGGGTGTGCGGGTGGTGTAATGGATAATGGTTAGGAATTGTTAATCGGAGAAACGAGTTCCAATTCCCATTTGATTCGTTATATTCACTTGCCCTTGGGAAAAGGTATGATTCCACCTCTTCTCCCTCAGCTATGAATTAACTAGTTAGATTTGTATTACTACAATTTTTTTTTAAATTCTTACAATCTGAAACTATTTTCTGGCTTTAAATAAACTGCAAAGTTTGATAAGCAGTAGAAAACGAATCACTCAGACAATCAAAACACGCATGCACCCTTGTTTATAAACATACGCGCGAATGAGAGAGATAGAGATAGAGAGTGAGTTAGTAAGAATTGGAGATAAAAAGAGGAACACAATAATTTTTAGATGAAACTACTCTTATTTTTTATCATGTCCTGGGCATTTGACATTTTATACATTGGAATTGTAAAAATATTTTTTTTTATTTAGTTATTCGTTAGTATCCGGTGTCTCGCTTAGAGATTTTTCAAAATGAGCGCTTATTTGTTTTGGGCATTCCTGAGTTCTATATGTTCTGAGGAATGCGTCAGCGTGCCGAAGGTTCAAAATAATTTAAATCCTTTTGTTTCTAAAGCTATTTGCGTTCTTAAATTTTATAATTTTCAGTTTTTCCACCATACGTAGATTGGAATTTCTGCTTGTTTATCCTTTTTTTCTTATATAACATTCTACGAAACTATTTAAGTATTTAGAATAGAACACTTTTATATACATAAAGATATACACAAGTAACATACAATTAGAGATATGCACTTTATATATATATATATATATATATATATATATATATCTCTGAGTAATTCTGTTTCTAATGTGAATAAGCATTCTTAAATACAGATAAACACTTTCAGATTTTAAGCCAGTCTATGTTTTCACAAAAATGGTATTAAACAATCGATGTTGGTAAAATTATTTAGATAATATATTTAACGGCATAGAAAACGCATAGAAATGGTTAAACAATCGCCTTGCGTGTTATATGCGAAGTTGAAGACTGCTATAAACTAATTTTATCCTCAATGATCTCTTCTACTACTTCGATTGAATGCATTGAATTGATTTGATGACTGGGCGAGAAATGGGATCCTTCACTTGTAAATATTCAGCCAACTAAAGTTAGGAGACGACCGTGGTGAGGTGGAATGATATTTGGGCTAATACTGTCGGCTGTAGAATTAAAATTGATGATAAAGGCAAAGTCATCTTTAGTGGTAAATTTCGTAATAAAGAAACTAAAGAATATATTTAAGCAAAACAATGTTCTTCCACAAACTACCAACCTTGCCAAAATTAGATTTCATAGATAACAAATTAATGGAATAGCCTCGAATCTGTAACAGATATCAATCTAACAAAAGACTTGTTCTCTATCATTAAGAGATACTGTATATATGAAATGAAAGCAATATTAACGCAAAGACGTAAGGGAAGCAATAAAAACTGCTGTAATGTTAGAATCGAAACAAAAGAAAATCTTCCCAAACATAGTGATTGAAAAACTGATGAAACTTATAGAATCTTCAAAAGCTAGAGCTAACATGTAAAATAGAAAAAGAGTATCGTAAACATTTTATCAATCTTTGCTCATTTTAATTGTATTGTGAAAATACAAGTCTGATTATAGAATGTGTATGCATAGATATAAAGAAACACAAAATCATGTAAGTATATATAGAAAATAAACTGAAACAATGGTACATACACACATATACATATATAAGACAAATTTTTAGTAAATAACACCGAAAATAATATCGAACTCAATGCAAAGAAAGACTTAAATTTCTTGAAGCCGTTGTAATCAAAAGGAAGAAGGCAACATTAAATACGGTATTCTTCTCCATAGATCTTATATCGAAATGTCTATTAAAAAAATCACACAAAACTTCAGTTTGACGATTGTAAATGGCATTACTTTGAGTGACATGAAAACGGAAAAAGAGGGAACAGAAATTAATCAAAAACAGTTTCATAAATAGACAAAAAAGAAATCCTTGACAACGAATATATTAACATTCAAAAGTACTGGGAAAAAAACAAACAAAAAAAAACTTTGGATCGACAGACTTTGTCGATATTGTTCAAGAGAACTCGTTTAAAAGAATGCTTGCTCCCTAAATACATCTTATTCAAAATATATGTCTATATATATGTGTGTTATATATGTTATATATGTATATATATGTACATGTTATAATCATTTTTCAATATCAATGTGCGAATAACTTGATACTTTACATGATAAAAAGTATTAAAAAAAGTCAATATTAAAAATTGAAAAATATCGAAAGTTGTATATTGTAGTGGTCGATACTCGAGTAAGTAGTCGCAGAAACTGAATATAGGCAACCTCTTATTCTCTTCACATATTTAAATAAGATTACCACTACAAAATCATGATTTGATACTTAAATTCTGCGACGATTAAAAAATTGTCAAATTCTTTTGAGATACTTCATATATAATAAACA